GAAAAAGAAAAATTCGTTTATGGAAATACGATTTTTAATATTTGAAAAAAATGTTTATCATTAAAATTAACGTTTTATAAATAGTTAATAATAATCATAAATATGAGAAATATAGGTAATTATAATTTGAGCGTGCACGATTAATTGGTATACTTCTCATTGGGGTGATGAAGTTGCGGGTGGTATCTTGAAGCGGCGAGAGTTTTGCCCTCGCTGTACAAACTTAAGAAGTAGACGCGGAAAGGAAAGGGGACATGGTGGCAGCGTAGTTAGTTATATGCCGTGCATGCCGGCAACAGTGCCGGTGTGTTTTTCATTTTCTTTATATCACCCTTGACGCTCGTAAAACCATTACCCATGACCGAGCGAACGCAACTTCTATATAAGTCCTATCGGTGTGTGAGCGCATAAACGCGCGGGACTCGAGACACTCTTTGATGATACTGAAACTTCTTTTACTTGTGCACTCCTCTAGGTAGATCTCCGTAAGACGAACCCAATTTCCTCGGCAAGCCGACCCCTCAGATTTGTCCGACATGCCCACGGGAAGAATTCAGTTTTCTCGTTGCCGATTGGTTACGGCGTCTTTTCGATCGTTATCCTTTCGTAGAACGTTGTATCCAATAAGATTTAAGCGCTGGGTTGCATACACGTTGATACAAAAATGTGATAAACCCCGACAACGATTTCATCATGACATTCATATAATTTATTTCGGATTATGTTGCCTATATTATGTAATTTTTATGTCTGTTTATTCAATAGCCATTAATTATTCATTTGCTTTAATTTGTATATTTGTTGAGAATTAGCAATTTTAGACATTTCTAACGGCCGAGCAAGTGCTTCTCTAAATCTCATTAAAGTTGATGTCTGAAACGTTCAAAACGTTCCATCTCAGGCCGAGCTGGGGGAACGAGCCGCATACTCTGATGTGTAGATAAGTCAGTTAGCGACTCGCTCTAGCGCGTTCCGACGTCGAGTCTTTGCATGGCATCATCGTCTTATTGCTCCTTTTCTCTTCCCCCTCTTTCTCTCTTTCGCTCCCACTCGCTTCTAACGAGTGATTCATCATCAGCGTCGCCTTCTCTTCTTTCTCCGACTAGCTTGGTTGGTTGGCTGGTTGGCTGTTTGGTCCCTGGATCTTCCGCTCTTTTCCTCTTTTTCTCTTTCTCTCTCTCTTTCGCTTTCTTTTTTCTCCAACCTACTCTCCAAGTACTCGTTTTACTCCTACACTGAAGTCATATCAACACATAATTCATTCTTATTATTGTAGGCACACTTTTAGTTCTTTCACATATTCTAAAATGGCGTTGGCTAATATTTTAAACCTACTAAATATAGATTACATTTTGTAGTAAAACTTTAGAGTCCTTATTAATTTCTCGAACACATTATATTCTTAAAAATGGTTTAAACTTTTTATTTTAAAATATTATCAATTTATAATCTAGATCAGATTTTTTGGAAGCTTAAAGTTTCTAAATATTTTTTCTAATTCTCACGTTCGAAATTTAAGAGTATATGTCACTGTAAAAATGTAGAATGATATTTTTCACCTCAGCTGGCTAGTATATAAAGAAATATTTCTCTTTAGATAGTGTTGCGAGCATCAGTCATGTCTGCGGTATAAACGCAGCAGGGACACAAAAGGGAGAGATTAAGAGCTAAGTCTACATTTTTTTTTCTTCTCTACTCATCATCAATGCTAGTAAGATGATCACTTTTTTTTGATAAATTTTTTTTTTAATTTTCCAATTTTTATAATAAAATATTCTAAACATAAACGTAGAATTTATTTCTCAATTGTTAGCTACATTGACGATACGTTTGGAAAGAATTGCTGAGGCTTTTTTCGATACATAATTCATTCCCTTCCTGATAAAAGCCATCGCTTAAAAATAATTCTATTCTATTCGACGACGTGCCGTTGTATTATTTGTTATTAATCAATTTTCAAGCGCGCGCGGAGACAATACTACTCGAAATGTCCATGCATTTTTGAACAGTATTGAAGAACAAGCGCCGTTCGTCTCGAAAGGTCCACCTTCGGCCCGGAAGGTGGGATTCCGGTAATTCGGTCATGGAATGGATGGGTGACGACGAGGGAACGAGAGGGACGATGAAGTGGGCCGGGTAAGGGGGGACAGGGTAGGGACGGGAGGGCGTTCCACGGGCTACCCTGCATGGGGTAGCTTGCAACCTCACGCGACACTAGAGCCATCTATATCCCCGGAGATTTATGAGTTCCTGGTGCAACGGCTGCTCGTAGCAACTACACGCTACACAATATCGGTATAGCGCCGGCGATGGTGATGCTGCCCCCTGTCGCGAGACGAGCGCACTGTTGCCCCGCGGGGGGTTTCGCGCACTCGCGCTCGTTCAACGCCGTCCCCGGCGCAAAAAACTCGATCTCAATTCGAAACTCTCTCGCCGATCCTTCCACTTGCCTGTCAGTTAGGGCTTCGACCGCATGCATGCACGTATGCATCCGCATGCACATGCAGATGCATACCTGGCTCTCCGCCTTGAGAAATCGCATATTTCGCATCGCGGTTTCTATACGTGTTCGTTATAAATTGACGTATTCTTTTTCAAGACTACATATGTATATTGTGTTAAAAAATTAGACCGACAAGCTTTGAGAGGAAAGGAACTTGAACGATATTTTTTGTTCATGACTTTTCTCTTTCTACGACGTTTCATTTTAATGTTATTTATTTTTTAATTTATTTATTACGTGGTATAAATTTCATGTGATTTTTATGTAAACATATAGGTGAAAATCAAATTATATTTTAATAACTTACAACACCCCCTATATGTGTATATGTATTTGTTAAATATAAAATATTATATAATGTTTCATTCATCAAATAATATTTTTGTAACTGTATATAAATTAAAAGAGTCACTCTAGGGGGATGTAAAATATATTAATAATAATTAAAAGATATTTACCACTTGTATGTTATTGTTAATTATAATTATCGATATAATTTTGTTCGTTTTATCGTCGATAGAGACGAGAGACTGATATAAAATGGAGAAGACAGACAGTTGCTACGTATAATTAAAAATTTTATGGCGGAGTATCGGCCTCGATTTTCATTCACGATCAGCCAAGCGTAGAGAATAGCGAGTCGAGATTTTTGAACAGCCCCCCAGACACAGCCGTCCGTTCACACTCCCCGTGTGATATTCTACAGGGGTAACCGATGGGCATAGTCAGGGGTTGGGAATTTACCCGTTGGTGCTGCTATGCGGGGGTACGAAACGACGGCGACGACGATATGAGTACTGGTATCTACCTCTACCTATGCTTTTGCACTCCATCCCGCTTCTCTCCAACCCCTTGATGCGGCCGGTTTACGAGCAACCTGTGGTAACGAGAGCGATAGATAATAACTGCTCCCTGCTCAATTCCACCCCCCTCTCTTTCTCTCTCTCTCTCTCTCTCTTCTCTCTCTTTCTTTCCTAGATCCACACATCCATGCAAAGACACAGCCACACGTGCATATTCGTATACATATGTATAAAAGTTAATCGTGATTCTTTTTTATTTCTTCTCTCTCTCTCTTTCGTTTCTCAAATGTATTTCCCACCCTCTGATTAAATAGATTAAATACTCTAATATTATATAAAAAGATGAAAATTCCCTTCTTTCGCACAATTTATTCAAATAAACGGCAAAAAGAGGATACGGTGAAACTCACGTCTGTAATGTTTCGAGACAGCATTTTCGAAATTATAATTTAGACGATTCCTTATTACTCGATAGAGAAAGTGCCTCAACGAATTACGCGAAATAAACGACGCTGTTTTGCAGCGCCATATCGAGAATCGTGTTTCTGGTTTTTGCGAGTTTTAAGTATGAGAATTTATGGCGGCTTAAAAACTCTAGCTTCCTTCGGAAATCCTGATAAATGCGCGCAGGAAGGACGCTTAGGTATGTACGCCAGACTCAGTTTCAGAGCATCGCGTACTCCTCGAAAGGCGAAGTGATTCTAGGCCGAACTGTAAACGGCGGCGGTAAATGAGATACATCCAAGTATGTGTAAACAATTTCCAAGTAACAAGGGCACGAATCGCGAGGAGAATTCTGGAGAACTGTTTATCGTCCAAAGTCTTAATAATATCTTATTAGCATCGCTTCATTTATTGGTTTATTTATAACGAATAAATTTATAGCGAATAAAATTTATTTGAAAATCGAAATTTAAGAATACCTCAAATAAATCATTTTATATAATATATATTATTTGATGCGTCTCATATAATTAATATCGAATTAAATAATCTGCAAAGTTATTGAACTTTTTATTGAAAGTACGAAATTTATTCTTTTTCCTTTCTTTCTTTCTTTTCGACTCGGAATTTTATATGACAATGAATATTTCCAATTTTTCTAAACGTGACTATTACACATGTAAATGGGAGGAAATGGAAAGAAAATTGGTAATGTAAAATCTCTCGCTGGCTCTCATTCCCCGTAAGACCGTCTAGATAAACCCCTTTCGCTCTTAACGTGAACTATTGATATCCCAATATACCAACACTACGAAAGCTCAGGCTCAACGTGCATGTAACCGAACGAGGCACCATGTGCATTCATTCTATTACAAAAGAAGCTGAACCAGCGTTCATGGCTCGACCCGTCGCGTCCCTAATACATACTCTATATATGAACGTTCCAAGTCGAACTTTCAAACATTCGGTCTCGCATGATGTGATCTCGCTCTCCAAAAAAGAGATGGCAACTAGAAAAAATATTAGATTTAACAATTGCTGAATTTTTAATTATCTCGTAAAATTATATAAAAATATAATCTCTTTCGCATTTTATTATCATAGAATCACGTTCGTTTTACGTTTGCTAATTAGTAGAAAAAAACATGCTTTAAATATTTAATGACTTCAAGTATTTAATTTTACGTCGATGATGATGAGACACGTGGAATATGTATAAGCTAACTCCGTCGTTTCTGTTTCTGTTTCAGGTGAGTGGCAGGCTCTGCACCCGCTGTCTCTGCAATGCCAAATAGATGGTCGATGTGCGTATCTGTCGATCGTCAATTTATCGGTTGCGGCGAATCGGATGCTGCACCCGGTGAGTGACGAACCTCCCCTCCCCCCCTACCCCCATGGCTACCTCCCGTAGCTCACTTTGACCGATATGCTCCCAGACCAATCAGTATCCAAGTACACACAGTATCATCCGTATAAGCCTAGCGCTGTTGTAGTCGTTCCCCTTTCTGGTCTCTCTACCTGTAGTTTCTGCTTTGGTGCAGTAGCATGTAGATAGGGGTTGAATTATCGAGGGTGGCCAATCAGCCAACGTCCGCGGATCCGGGGTGTCGTTTGCGAAAAATCGACCGAAAACAGAGTCACATTCTCGACGTACATTGCGATAGGTTGTGCGCAGATTAGAAACCGAAATACGTAAGGAAAAAGGCTAAAATTACTTATAGGGTTAAAATATAGGACGTAGGAACATTTATAATTCTCTCGATGGGCGAGATCGAGTCGATTAACGTTCGTAACGAAAGTACGACTCGTTTTTATTTCTTCAATACTGAATGTACAAAATTTTATCACGTTTCTTTACAATTCTCCTCATTTTTTTCTTCGTTCGATACGTTCTTTCTCGAAAATGCGCACTCGATATATCTTTGCGACAAGAGGGAAAGAGAAAGATGAAGAGAAGGAGAGGAAGTAAAAATAGAACGATTGCTATTGATGTTACGTTTTTTGTTATTTCTCTTTTTTTATTATTATCTCTGCGTGCGAAGCAATACGAGAAAGCGTTTATATTGTTACCAATATTGCTTTTGCTAATGGTAACATTCGCTCGTTTGTTATAAAAAGACTGTTTTATTTCATTTCGCGCGTTATTAATTAGAGTTACATTATTTGAAAACGTATATATAACGGCAGCAAGCGAGATTAATCATAACGATACGATATTTTCGATTGGTACAAAATATATATGTTGATATTCGGTCATATTTTATCAATATATTGTATAGAAACGTTTATATGATGTGCGTCTGCTTAAGTACCTGTTAAAATGGTCAAGAGTGCGCGGTCTCGAGATATCGGATATCTCCTTTGAAATAAATTCGGAAAGAATTTTCCGAAAAAGAGTTCCCTCCTCCCTCTTTTTTATAAACGTCGGTCCGAGAGAGAAGCAAAATGAAGATGGACATTACAAACAAATATTATAATTATACGTATCTAGTACGTAGGCGCCTGCTCTGTGTAAAGAGATTCGTGGCGTTATCTCCTATACGGTAACTTTATTCTAGTTAAAATGAATGTATACGAATAGCCGCTAAAAAAAACAGAAAGAATGCGAGAGAGAGAGAGAGAGAGAGAGAGAGAGAGAGAGAGAGAGAGAGAGAGAGAAAGAGAGAGAGAGTGTGTGCGTGTGTGTGCGCGCGCGTGTGTGCGTGTGCGTGTGTGTGTGAGAGGCAGAGAGTACGTAAACGCAATATTTCTAAGAGGTATGTAATGTTAATAGTTATTTATTTTGTGGATCTCGGAACAGAGATGATTCATTGCTCTGCTGTGCTATGCGTTATCAATTAGGCACGTAGTCCTGTTAGGGATAGGCGTTACCTTATGCGTAGTCGTAGTTACTTGTGTAAATGTTTCGCGTGGCAAACACTCTTTCTTCCTTTTTGTAATATACTAGAATATTAATTATTGACAAAAATTTCTTTGAATCCTGATTGTATGTACTCCGACAGCGACCAGGGCCGCGCTAGCTGCCTATGATTAAGATTATATCCCGGCGTTCTTGGGGACGGTTCTCGAACGCTATTGTAATATTACATTGATTATACGATTGCTAAAAGAAAAGAAAAAAAAAATAATAAATGCGATGTAAACTTAATCACACGTCTTACGCTTCATTGTCTGCGGCCCTGGCCGTAGCAAGTCCATCCCGCACCACATCTACTTTCCCTGATCCCGTCGTCTATTACACCCCACCCTGGATACGCGAGGAATCAGATTTTAGATACGAGTACGCGCAATTATCGTTCTCTCTCGAAATAACGTACGGCGGCGGTAAGAATCGACTTTTATCGCGACGACGGTGTCTCTTTTAATCGTTAACGAGGATACATATATCTCACCCATCGAGCACCCGCGATATTTATCGTCGGCCAAGATATCACGGGAGACGCGTACACAATTTTTCCGGCGGGATCGTTATCAATTCTTCAAACGATATCGCGATGCGGCGGACGTGCGGCGGTTGCTTTACGACACTTAAAAAGCACTCGTTACGCGGCGTCATCGCGGTACAGGATGTGGAGCCGCCTTAACGGGCGCCACGTTGATCCGGAGTTGAGCTTTCCACGGACAGCCATAAGTCTCGCGACGCTCCGGGATATTAATATGTTATTGCGGAAAGACTCCCTCATGAAAGTCGACAAGGACTGCAAAAATATGTCCCGCGCGTCTCGGCGTCTCCGGGGGGTGGCACACACCCCGTAGGACGGGGGTGGAAGCCCCGCTCTATCCGTTCGCTATTCCTACATACGCGCGCCAACACACGCACGGACGCGCGCACACGCATAGGACGGAAGCCCTCGTTACTATCGTACACGTAGCGGGTAGTGGTCGGAGAGGAAAGGGGAAGGGGGGAGGGGAGCGGGGAGGGAGGGAGGGTAGAATTCAGCAGACGCCATTTGTATTAATGAAGCTCCCGACAATGGTGCACGCCCGATGAATTATGTACCTATGTTCGAACCGAACGAAGGTACATAACCGATCTAGGCGTAAGTTTGCTATTGGCCTCACGCAACACTTCCTATTCTCTGATCCTTAGTTATAACTTTGCGAGATCCCTGGCTCCTTAATCTAAACGTAAAGCTGACACCGCCGATTTTCACGAAATCACATTTTCCGAGAGATCGTGCAGCTTTTATATTAAAGCGTCATTTATATTTCAGATTCGACAAATTTTATATAAAATTATAACGTTTTAATAATATTCTATTTCACAAAAATGTGTGTGTGTGTGTGTGTGTGTGATATCAATATTTAACGTTAAATCTTAAAAATCTTAAATTTCATTTACGCGTATTTTTGTGAATTAATAGTTTTCAAAATATATCGCACCCCGTTAATTAATAATTTGTAAAATGTATATTAACTTTATATGTTTTCATCTAATTAAAAATGTAATATTCTAATTCTACGGTGTAAAATAGATAGTATTTTTTTCGGACGTTCAACATGTTGACATTGACCGATGAAATGAATTAAAAATGCAATTTTTTGCTCGGTAAGAAATATAAATTTGATCGAAACCGGGGAGAGGGGGGTGGGGCATTAGGTGCGTAGGTGCAATCTATTACGCGAAAAGACGTAGCGGGGCATCCATCTCGCCACGGCGCGGATAAAACGACCGCTTTACTTTGGATTACAGGGGGAGCAATTTACAGCAGGCGCAAGAGCACCTGTTCGTTCTTGAGGAGATGGAAAGGTGGGGACGCGCGCGCACAACGCGAGGGGTAGTCTTTTAAGGGTGTGGGAATAGCGTGCTTTGCAGACGTTGCGGTAATTGAATCCCAGTAAGTCCCTCTATATATAGGTGTATCTACTTAAATGTATAACGCTACTCTCCTCCATCCGCACCATTTTTCTTTCGCTTCTTTAATCTTTCCGCTTCTCCTCTATCCCGCGGCCGTGCAATGATTTTTCCTTTGTCGACGGGTTAGATATTGTAAAAGATTTTTATTCGCGCGCGTTTCGACGTCTCGATAAAGCATTACTTGACGCACTCGTCTCGGATAGATTCCTCGCTCACCTTTATTTAGTCGCTCTTTCCTTAAATTCTAAATTTATATTCTATTTTCTACACGATATATTTTTCTAAGCTATACGTCATACATCACGAGCGCGTGCGCGCGCGCGTGCCACCAGTTAAAAACCCTTATCTTTTCGTTCTACAAAAGGAATTCCAGCAATGGGTTGAGCCGTGCGAAAACTCATTCCGCCATACTCCTCGAGGAGTCTACTATCCCGGCAACGAAATCCTGATGTACGAGCTTCACGTTTCAGCAGCTCCTTGGCTCGGGCCGACTGATATGAATGTGTTAGGTGTAGATGAGCCTAGCGTGCTCTGCCCTCATATAATTACTTCACGCTTCTCTCTCCGTAACCCGGTGCCCTCGGATACTCTCTTCCTCCTTTCTCCTCTCGCTCCCTCCCTCGCTCTCTCTCTCTCTCTTTCTTGTCAGTGGTGTTCTAGCGGTGTTTCTATATCGTCGTGCTCTTGCACGGTGGTTTGCTCGTAGTTGCATGCACCGCTCGCAAATACCATCGTATCCCGTGCGCTTGGTATAACATGGGGGGTCGGAGGAGGATTCAGTCGGGTTTGAGGGGGTGTTGTGCAAAGGGGAGGTTATTAGGCAACGCAGCACCTCATCCCTCATCCACCGTAACCGCGCCGCAGCGTGTATTATGTAACAACACGGAAACGAACTGTGAGGCGGTTGGCTGGCCGAAAGAGAGATAGAGAACTCGTCGTGGGGAATAGAGAAAGAGAAACTGTGCGAAAGCCTCGCTGATGTTACTCTCTTGCTGCTACAAATATTACACGTATTCGTAACGATGCGCTCGTAACTCTCGGTTAGTATCTGTTATTTCCACGAGTGCTGAATCATTTTCGATTTGAGCACAAATCATGCGCAAACCATGCATTTTGGCAGGGCCAAGTTTCGTTTATATTAAATTCGGGAAGGGAGGGGCGGAGTCTTTTCATCAGATTCTTGACATTCTACACACGTTATTGTTTTACGCGTAAAATATTATCTTTCTTCTCGTTAAGATATTTCGACATATTTCAATTTCCAACATTTTATGATACACGCTGTCGAATAAAAATTAATTTGATTTACAACATCAATAGATGGAATCGTATTCGTGTTCGTATCATTTATCGCACTATTTCTTTATTATAAGAGACGATATAATTTCTTTGAATAAATTCGCGACCCCTACGAACAAATCTCGTCCACCGATATACGAATCTGAAACTTTAATAATAGCTGCTAAGTTTTGAACGCATACATCTCACGGCATTATCAGAAATCTTAATTTACAATTGAGTTCTGGCGGTTTAACGGACATTTTGCGGCCAATATAATGTCTAATAATTCTAATAATTCGCCGGTTTAGAGATGAATGGTGGGAGGGAAGGGTGGCGCATAGGGTGAGAACGTTCCCTGGAGCCGTGCCCGGGAAGGTAGGGAAGTGAAACCGAGAGATGAGATGAGCGAAGAGAGGGAAGGAGGACACGGAGAGAAGGAGGTACAGGAGCGAGAGAGAGGAGAAGAAGGAACAGGTCGAGACCGAGGGTATGGGCCGAGGAAATGGAGGGAAGGCCAATTAGAGGGCGGGAAGATTTATCTGCGGGCGACGGGTGTGCGGATAGTAAGGGGTAGGTTGGTCTCTTCTGCCTAGTGCACTTGTATTATTTCTTGGTTGGACAACCCCGTTCAAGACAACGGCGACGTCCAGCTGCTATTGGCTGTTCCTGATCCTTTAGGAATTAATTGTTGATTTAATTTCGCGTTTTCGACCGCATAATCTAACTTTACCATTTATTTTACGATTGTACGTTAATTTGAACAATGTAAATATATATCGGATTCTTCGATTCATCGAATATATTTCATTTTATTTTACTTTAGCTTGTCATCAAAATTGAAAAAGCACCTCGTAAATAAATATTATTCAGAGTTGCAAAATTCAGTTATAAAAGCATGCGATGTATTATACAAGCTGCGCGCAAAATAAAATTTCCAGGCAAAGCTCTCTCTCTCTTTCTTTTTGCGTGTGTGCGAATCGTAAATTATTTTAATAAGGACTTTGACATTTTAATTGTCTAGATGACAAGATCAAAGCATTTTCTAGGTGATGTCAGTTTCTTTCAGTATTTGCATGGAAAACACCTCCCACTAAATATAGAAGAGACAATTTTATCTCGGTGGATAATACTTGGAAGCGATGTCTCGCTGTTTTTATAGATTCACGAAATTAGAAATGAGAGCTCTGTGGAAAAAATAAAAAAACATGAAGATTTGTAGATGTGTGCGTCTGATATCTGTTCTTAATTTTTTAAACTGACCTATTAAAAATTGATATATAACATGTATATAAAATACATAACAGATAAAACCATATTAAAAAATTAATATACGACGAAATATTAGTAAATATTATCAAATTAAGAGTAAATATTAATATAAATATTATCAAAATATTTCAAAATTTCGCAATCAATTCTATTTGCATATTATAAAATTATATAACGTCGTTATATAAAAAATACATAATATAATAAATGCAAAAATTCATTAAATACTAAACTCCTTTTGATTATACATGAAAACTTTGATTATCCGAAAAATACATATACATCAAAATATCTTTTAATAAATTTTAATGGCATCGTGAAACAGCCGAAATTAGAATAAATCGCGACCTCGATATTTTTCTACAATAGAAGAGAACCTTGGAAATCTTCGAGTTATATCTGTAGTCTTTCTCACGCAAGATTTTACTTTATTACAAAAACCTTGAGGTTTATAGAGAAATGCGTATTTTTTTGAAGCTGCTTCTCGGAGCTATAATAATCCGTGACTTAACGGGACTAACTAACCAAAAAAGTGTTTGCGGAAGCATGACAATGTCAGTGATCGGGCAGTCACGCATTAAAAATTTTTTCTCGTTCGAAAAACGGAACTGCATTTTTCTAGAATTGGAGGGAAATAGGTCGTGCTCTTTCTCTCATTGTCTCTCTCTTTCTACAAGGTTGTTCCACTTTTAACATGGCTTTGAAACGAACCGTGGATCTCGTAAATCTAGGACTACGTGGGAGATAACTTTTTGTCGGCTTATTTTACGCGCCACAAGTATCTTTCTTTTCTTCACGACACAAGTCTGCTGCTGCTTTGTTAGATGGATTAATTTAAAAAAAAAATTGATTAAATATTTCTTGTTACAAGTTTCTCTAGCGCAACACATATAGTGAGGTGTACTTTTAAAAATAATTAATATAATAAAAATCATTTCAAGTTTAATAATTCATCGTTAAATGTAATATTTAAAAAACATATGTCGTATATTTTGTTACATAGTTAAAAATATTTATTTTCCCTTATATTGTGTAGGACATTTAATCATTTTATTTAAAGCGTCTCTTTTTTTGTATATTAACTTTCACGTTAATATCTTTTATATTAACTTTTATATTAATCTGATTAAAAATTCTAATGAAAATTTAGCCGGTAATATCGTTCGAAAAAAGAAGTATTTCCCAAGATCTTTGTAAAATTTCTCATGCTACTAAGATTATTATAAAATGATACGTTAATACAAAATGGCAGACGAGCCATCACCCTTGCCTCGGCCTAAATTCGACGCAAGGGGGTGCAAGAACACAAAAATAAATGGTACTCATTCACCCTCCCCCGGATAGAAAACGGAGAAGTAGCTGCAATTGTGAAACAAAAGGCACGATAATCGTATTCGCTCCCCAGGGAGCGAGGAAGGGTGTGCGTAAGAGGGATGAGAAATGTAACGGGAGTTCATATTAAAGCGCGAAGAAATGTCACGTTAATTTGTA